GGGGGGGGGGGGGGGGGGTAGCTCCCTTAAAACAGTGATGGACAATAACCTTTTTATGTCCCATACACAACACCCCCCCCCAAAAAAAAAACAACCAAAACAACAACCCTAAAAACAAAACCAAACAAACATTAAATACCCAGGCTAAGACAAAACAAACAGAACAGTTTGCTGCTCCGTTGTCACCCTGCCTCTCCAAATACCAGAAGGTGAGTGAGATACTTTACTACTACTCTGGATAAGACTTCTGCCACAAGGCCATTGAAAGTGTACAGGTTTTGGTTGTTGATTGGTTGATTGTTTTTTTTAAAAAAAGAATTTAGTTCTCTATGAACAGATGGCCTTCTTTGCATGCATTGTTACGTCATGACACTCATTTGTATTTCTTGTACATTTCTCATCTCACTTGGTGCTTTTTTCCACGTCAAAGTTTGGATGTCCTTGTACCATAATTTTGTTTGCGGTATTTTCTCTGTTTTTTACATAGCGTGCCTTAGCAGTAGCAGCTGAAGAGAGGTTAGGAATTGTGTGTGGAGGAACCTGATGTGGAAGAGCTGGTACATGAGTCTGGTCTCTTCCTTTTTGAATACAGTGGAGTCTGCTTAAACTGAACACAGTTAAATCAAAAACAGAGGTATACTGAATGGAAATAAAATTCTGGATTTCGTGTCTTCTATTTGAGTTTGAGCAACCTCTCTACGGAAAAATCTGGCTAAAGCTAAGAAAACGTGGGGGTTCGGCAGATTTCAGTTTATGTGAACTCCATTGTATTGGAAAAACACAACAAAACGAAGGTCTGTACCTTATCAGAATGGCCAATTCAATGCACAGAATAATTTATTAAATTTTTCGTCTTTTTTTTCCTTGTCCTTCGTGTGTCATGTTTTTGGGTGAAATCTTTTTTTTTTTTTTTCGTGGATTTGACGTGAACTTTGAGGGAATATTATACTATCTATGTCTTGTTGAAAGATAAGATGCTGAGTAATGAGATAATTATTATTTGGAGAATTATTGTGCTTTAGTTTGCTTGGAAACACCTTATTTTTGTGCCTAATTGGGAAGTCTGGCATGGTGTCTTCAACCATTAGGAATCTGAAAAGAGATGAAACATTTTTTTGTTAAATATCCTCATCAGACAGGTTACCAGTATGCTTGTTAGCATATTTAAAACTTCAGTATTTTCTCTCTCTTGTTCATTTTATCAGGTCCTATGTCTATATATTAATATGCATAGTGTTGTGTAGTTACCACAGATGGGCAACTGATGTTGAAGTTACTGTTTCAAAAATCCTCATGTATTGTTGGATACATGTATAAATTATTGTAGCATTTTTCTTGGCCAGGTGTTGACACAAGTAGTACTTGTGTGTACTTCCCTTTTTTTGGAATTCTGAAATAATTGAATAAATAAATATATGAGGCAGTGTGGGGAAATCGGGCGCTCGTCAAAATAATGAAATTGAAGAAACTGGCTTTTTTTCAGCCAGTTTTGCAATTTTTAACGAATTTTTATTTTTTGGCTAAACGCCATTGTTGTCCAATTAAGAACACATTTCTGGGTGGATTTCACTGAAAAGTGTTGATTAAAGGCACAAACAATGTAAGTTTTCAGTTTCCACGGACTATCAAGCGATGAAAGTAACTAAACTTTGGCTGTCATTTTCTCGCTACTTCTACCTTTGAAACTAGGCCACCCCCACCTTCTTCAATCATTTTTTTCACCGATAGCAAGACAACTGAACAAGCTTTAAGATAATACCAATAACTCTACGTGCCCAAAAATTGGCCAGCGCCTGATTCCACCGCATCGTGACACAGATTATATCGTTGCCGTTGTGTGTGTGTGGGTATGTATATATTTTATATACAGGTTATGTATAAAGTTGCCATATACACAAGTGAAAGTAGTCTTATAAAATTTTCAAAAATTGAATATAGAGTAAAAATTTAGGGATGTCTTGATGCAGTTAATAAAATGTTTATGTACTGTATGAAGTTTGTCATTTTGTGACAACTAGGCTCGAAGAAGTTACAGGTTTATTTATAAACTCACAAACATACTTAAGTGTGGCAGTACATGTACGTTTTTTTCAGTTTAGCTGTATGATAACTCTATGGACACCCTTTGTATTTTGTCCCTGTGTTAGCAAAATGGCATGACTCAGAGTTGTGTCGAAAGGCAACTAGACTTATATTTTGTTTGGTTGTTTTAGTAAGAGTTTTACGGCACTTGCAACACAATAAGGTCATATAAGTGCAGAGTATTTTGTTTGGTGGTACTGCATCTATTTTTTGTAAAATCAAAATAGAAATAAATGTGTCACGACGCAGTGGAATCAGATGCTCATCTATTTTTGGGCGTATGGAGTTATTGGTATCATCTTAAAGATTATTCATTTGCCTTTCTTTCGATGAAAAAAATATCCTTTTCTCTTGAATAGAAGTTGAGATATTTGCGATTGAAGGACGTGGGGGTCGCCTGGTTTCTGAGGTAAAATTAGTGAGAAAATGGCCACCACCCTTTGGGGACTTCCATAACTTAAGAAGAGTCTTTTAAAACTGCAAATGTACGTTTTTTTAAAGCCCTTAATCAACGTTTTTTCTGTAAAATCCACACATAAAAGTGTTTTTGAATGGACATACAAGGTATTGAGTCAAAGAACAAAAATTTGAAAATAATTTCCAAAGTGGCCGAAAAAATGCAGATTTCTCGGATTTCATTATTTTGACGAGGGCCTGATTTCATCACAGCGCCTCACTAATGTGCTGTCAGTCACAAAAGAAGCATGCATGACTAGCTTTATCCTGATAAAGTGATAAAAAGTCTAGGTAATAGGTTTTTTTCCCTTTTTCTCAGAAGTAGCAAAAATGAAATATGCCGTTATGCAAGAGCAGTGACTATATGTGCATACATGTGTACGTAGTTCAGCGTAAGGAAGAAAATCAAAACTTGCTTCAAATCAAAACCTTTTTGTAGACTTCCAGAGCGCGATATTATAATTGTATATTATGATTGTGTGCAGTACTGGAAGAGCTAGCCAGTTTTGTCTATGTACGTGTTTAGTTTTGTGGGTAATGTAGATTTTCAAGACGTGATTTCTGAAATAGCTTCTCTAGGCCAGCTGCAGCTATTGCTGCCTTTTGGCTGAGAGGCTG